ATGTGTCATTACACAAATATATTGAAATAATTCAAATTAAAGGTTCAGAAGATCTTGTAACACACTAGATATGGATTTGTTTATAAAGGTTTGACAAAAGTGCCACATGATGAAGGTTCATTACCACTCTAATTAATGAAAAATAGATCCAGTAACAAGGAACAGTCGCTGCTATCACTTATTGCTCTGAAACGAGTTTTCCAGACTTGAAGTTCAAGAGCCTGATTACAGATAATGGACTTAAGCTTTCTGTTGGGAATTTGTTCATTCTGCAGCCTCAACAGAATTTGAACTTTTGACATTTCCATCATGCTGTAGCTTGACTAGAGGTAAAATAGAAGCAGCTGTGGTGAAACTGCTAATAGACTGAAATATATGAAATCTTTCACTCGGCTGGACCACCAGGAAGGCTAATTGTCCTGGAGAAATGTTAGATTACTAGAAGTAGGCTCAAATTTAAGGTCAAAAAGTTCTCAAACAGGAGTTTCAAACCCCAAATTTAACTTGTGTAAAGTTTAGACATTGGAGTCAGCAGTGCCCTGGCAGCCAGGAGGGCCAGCCGTGTCCTGGGGGCATCAGGCAAAGCATCTCCAGGTGGCTGAGGGAGGACATTGTCCCACTCTGCTCTGCATTGGTGTGAGCTCACCTTGAATATTGTGTGCAGGTCACTGAAATATAGGAAAGACATCAAGCTCTTAGAGAGTGTCCAAAGGAGGGCAACGAAGATGGTGAAGGGCCTTGAGGGGAAGTCGTATGAGGAGCGGCTGAGGGCACTTGGTCTGTTCAGCCTGGAGGAGACTGAGGGGAGACCTCATTGCAGTTACAACTTGTTCATGAGGAGAACTGGAGGGGCAGCCATCCAGAGGGTGGTTATAGACTGGAACAGGCTCCCCAGGGAAGTGGTCACAAGCACCAACAGAGTTCAAGAAGTATTTGGACAATGTTCTCAGGCACATGGTGTGACTCTTGGAGATAGTCTTGTACAAGGCTAAGGGTTGGACTTAATGATCCTTGTGGGTCCCTTCCAGCTCAGGATATTCTATGATTCTATGACTAAAATTCACTTTCCCTTGCTGGGCATCCTCACGTAGGAGTCCCAAAGTCTCTTACAAAGTCAGCAGAGAGAAAGAAGTTCCTCTGAAAGCCTAGTAAGCTTCAGACAGGCAGGTGAGATCGGAAGGATCTTACTCTTCTGACCCACAGCTTGTTATTTATTATTCCTAATTATTTTTATGATGTGTCAATTGGAAGCTGCCTTCACAGACTGAGATTTCATTGTGACAGTAAAATCTCTGATGCATACAGGAGACTGGCCAGAAGTTTAATTTTGTCAGGTCACATACCACCATATGCAGACCCATTGCCAGAGAAAGGACAATAGATTCTTTATTTAGTTCAGTGTCCATGAATGGCTTGACAGGGAGGAGAGGCCATACTTCTTCCTGGTAGACTTTTCCTCTTTTATTTCAGGGATCTTCAGGGAACTAAGGCATAGCCATAAAGTTCTTCCTAGGTGTCAGCATCCCTGATCTCCAGAGGCAGCAGTTAGAACATGCAGTGCTTGGATTTCTGCTCTTTTTAACAACACAACACAGCAACAATGCTCTGCAGTGCTAACAGCCAATCTTCAGAATGATATGTCTGGGAAATTCAGTATTTGCAGAGGCATGTACATATTTAAGTACCTTACATGCCTGGAAGGATGTGTTGCTATTCTTTTTACAATATGTACACAAGTCATATGCAATCAGAGAGAATGAGAGATGGCAGGTAACTCCTGACATGGGACAAAATACAAATCAAGGTTTAATACTACACTATTATTCCCATTTTAACAGAAATAAACAAGATTACAAATCTGTCAAATAATTTGATAGATGTAATTACTAAAATGGTAGCATACAGCAATGCTTGATGAACAAATTTGTCAGAATAATGACATTGTAAGCACACTAACATGAGCACAGAGCTTTGGTCCTAAATTAAACTTCTCTGGTTATTAAGTTATTAACGGAAAAAATACAGGCTGTCTGAATGTGATCCTTGAGGCAATCCTCAATTTTATTATTTCTAGCTCTTAGGCCATTCCCCCGTGTGAGTTATGTTCAATCACAGAAATAATCAAGAGAATAGATCTACTGGAGACATATAGCAAATTTAAGTAATAGTAAACAGACTAAGTCTTCTAAAATATTATTGTTCCACTGTAACAATAAATGGAAAGTATAATTGAATGGATGACTAAGTAAATAATTAAAAGTAATAGGCCCAAACTGGCCATGTGCTCTTAAGGGGAGCTTAGCATTGATTTCATGGAGTTGCCTCTGAAGCCATCCTTTCTCCAGTCTGAACATGCCCAGGTCCCTCACCACCCACCAAGATGATCACCAGCACTGATCATCTTGGTGGCTTCACTGAATTCACTCCAGTTTATTGAGGTATTTCAGGTATGGTGTTTGAGGGGTAAAATGAGGTGCAGTCTACCAGATCTTGGATGTGGTCTAATGAGTGATGAGTAAAGAGAGATAATCGTGTCTTCACCTACTGACTGTGCTCTGGCTAACACAGCCTGCTGACCTTTGCTGTTGCAGCACACTTTGCCATGACTGCAAAGCCAAGGTGTCAGGCAAATAATTACTTTATGTAGCAAGAGCTACAAGATGACTTGGTTTTTCCTCAAAAGATCAAATCTGGAGAGATGCTGAACATTAGTACATCAGAAACTCCCTTCTGAAACACTTAAGTACAGAAATGGACCAAAATCAATCAGTAGAAGAGAGACACAGAATAGTCAGTGGTATATTCCTATTGGTATATTTTCCAGAAACTGCAGAAAAAAGTTTCCTTTCTATACAGTGAAGCAGCATAGGAAGATATCAACAAGCAATAGACTGTTGTTTACTAATTAATTCAGATAGCAAGTGATGGAGTTGCAAGTGGGACAGAAAAGGTGCATTTAAGGTCAGAGACTGCCTACATAAACATAGGCGAAACAAGAAGAGCAGGTAAACTCTGGAGAAAGGAGGAGATACCCCATTCAAGTGAAGTAAACTCCAAGACTCAGGGAGGTCTGTGCCAGGAGACCTGCCTGAGTTATTTCACCAACAGTAGGAGGGTAGACACAAGTTGTTTAAAGGAAAGGGTGGAAATCTACACCAGTCACTCCATGAATCATAGAATTATTTGTTTATGTTGGAAAGGACCTTGAAGGTCGAGTCAAATCATTAACCCAACACAGCCAAGTCTGCTACTAAACCATGTTCCTAAGAACCACACCTATATATATTTTAAATATGCAGAGTTTTGGACAAGGAAGAACCCTCTATTCAGGTTTTCTGGGAATTAACAGCTTAAACTGAAGTTAGTCACTAGTATAAAACTTACCAGTTGAGAGGGAGGGGCAACAAAAGCTGAACTGAACATTGGCATTTGGGAGAGTAGCAAAATACTCTGAGAAGTCAAATGCTTCCAGTAACTTCAAATACTTTAAAGATGTTTCTAATAAGTTCTAAATTGCAGTAGTAAGTTAATTTTACTAAAGTAACAGTGGTACTTTCTTATGATCAAACCAAAGTCGTTGTGTGATTGCTGCAAAATCTTGGTGCACTGTAAAATCTTGGTAATAATGATAAGTTTAGTGAAGGAGGATAGCCTTTGAATAGCCTAAGAAGGACAGTGGTTTATGATTTCTGCTTTCAACTAGGCATGGAACCTTTGAGGCAATTGTGTGACTTGGTAAAGCACCTCCCCACCTCCCCTGCTGCCTGAACTAATATGCCAATCCTAATACTTGCTCCTCTTCCACAGTGTCATAAAATAGCATAGATGGGGTATTGCCTTCCAAGAGGGATCCATTCTGTGATGCCTTTCCACTTACTCATGCAGCCTTCTCCACTGGGAGAAGGTATGGATTTATCAGGGAAAGAGGCAGAAGGAAAAAAGTTGCTCTACACATTAGCCCTAACCAGTGTACTGGCCTGCTATGCCACAGAACCGTGCAACTCTTCTTCAGACCAGCATGGCATACATCTACATGACAATTTGTTATTCGCTGCTTACACTGAGACCCATGTGTTTAATGATTCTAAGCATGTGACTCTGTGTATTAGCCACTGTAGAGATGCATGGAAGAACATGTTTCCTGCCCCAGCTGATTCATAAGTTATTTTAAGACATAGGCAAATGAAATTGAAGGCTGGAGACAGAAAGGAAGATGAGAGAGAAGTTGGGATATCGATATCCTGAAGTTTCACAGATGATCTGTAAAAAGAATTTTCTCCAAGCCATTAGAAAAATAAGAAATTATTATATAAATCCATTTAGGCATCCTTGATCTCTGCCTTTACTAGGAAACTGTTTTCCTGCAGATTCCTTTTCAAAACAGGATTTTGACTGGTTGCAAGCCTACTGACCATTCTCACAGCAAATTCTAGGGCAAAGAAGGGGAGGAATATTCTCTTGCAATACCTATAGAAGGAATATGTATATCCTATGCTAGTGTCACTGCAGAGCAGATATCTGGACTGTCAGGTAGAGAAGCAGCAATGTTGTCAAAAGATGTTTCTGGGTAGGTTTTCAAACTTATTGCAGTGTACACATGTCTGATCATAGAGGTAAAATGAGGAGAACACAATGTGTAGGCATATGTGCATGGTATCTATGCACGTCTGTAAAAGACATGTAATATGTCCATTAAATACATACAGCTCCCACAATTTTCAATCAAATCAGCTCTCAACCCCTCATTCATCCTATATACAGGCTAAGTGTATGACATGCATGAGAAAATGTCTTTTAGAGGACATAAGAAACATGAACTGACTGGTATTTGTGATTTCATATCTAGAGAAACCTTGGGCAGATGACAGCTGACACACAGCTATTCTGGTTTTACTGCCGGTTACTGTAAAAAGATTCCAGTAGTTTTCACTCAGAAGCAAAACAAGGAGGGGGAAGGTGTTTATTTTTATCTTAAAATAAACTAGAGCTGGCACACTCACCTATTACACAGAATGGTTTCCTTGCAAAGCGCAGTCTTCCTTGCCATCCTCGGTATCGACAACAGCATCCAGCAGACCAGATACGAATGATAAACTCCAAACCAAAGACAACAATCATGACAAATTCCTAGAAAGGGCAAATAAGAAAAATGCCTGTTACAGACAAGCAATGATAAAGCATCAGGAAATGTATGGCCATTGTTTGCGTCTAACAATCCTCTTTAAGCATGTGAAGATCCCAAGCCAAACTTGGGAATCTGCTCCCCAGAAGCACCTACACACCTACAAGGAGCATCCTGTACAGACCCCATCATCTAAAGTCCCCAGAGCTTCCTAGTGAATGGTCCATATCTAACATGAATACCATTAAATATTGCCTAATATTGGCTAATAAATATGAAACACTGAAGAACTGAGTCATACACAAAAAATGTCAGAGCTAACTACTCAGAGGCTTTGGATAGGTGGACCATAGGTAATTTAGACAACTAATGAAGAATATGTTCCATATTCACATCCATAAAATTAGTTCTTAGTCTAAAGGCTAAATGTTTTTGGAGATATGTTCTCATTGTTGCAATATACACGTGAAGTGACTGAGATGATGCAGAAGCATTCAGGAAATCAATTTGTTCTCAGAATTACGTTATGATACATGAAAGTGTAATTACGTACAAGGGTTATGTAATTGTTTGTAAGGTAGTAAATGAATGTGTCCACTAGGTATAACTTTCCCTGGAAAATTTGAGAATGAAAGTATTTACAAATCTTGCCTTGCTTGTTTGGTTTGCTTTTCTTTCACATTGGAACCTTCTTTAAGACTGTCTATTTTAATAACAGCAACGTGTATTTATGCAATTTTTTATCTAAGGAAGTTTTCATTACAACAGTGAGGTCAACAGAGTTGCAGTAATAGAGTAATTCAGCTCCCTACCCTAAGGAAATCTAAATGTGCAGTGATATAGTACATATACACTGGTATGGAATTATAAACTTAGATACTCTTCTGGAGTAACATCATAAAGTTATGAGTTTTGGAAAGACAAAATAAAAATTTTTGTGTTCACCAGAAGGATAAAAGTACTTGGTGGAGTTTCTTCAACAGCTCATCAAGAAGAGGATGGAAGTTGTGTTTTATTTGGCAGTTGAATGTATTTCCTTGTCCAGGAGTAAGGTGTTCCTTCTCAGCCAATTATTTTATTATTCCTCCAGGATAAGGACTAGTGTGGTTCTGGCAAGAAAGTACTGCAAATGAATTAGAGGAATATTTGCAGTGGTAGGGTTGATCCAATATTGACTTTTCCCCCAGTAAACACTTTGTATGCTTTTCGACTATGAGACCCTATAACTCTACAAGCCAGTAAGGCTGTAAATATATGCCAACGCAGGCATTAATTTACCTGAACAAATGGCAAACAAATTATGAATGTGTTTCATGTAATGCTGCTTTACTAGATTATGATTAGTGAAAGTACACTGAAACATTGTGCATTTAATTGCTTTTTCCATCATAGAACAATTTGAAAACACAATACTCCTTCCTAAAACATGCTGGCTTCCTTAACTACATTACACTGAAAGCACTTTTAGAGCCTTCTTCAGTGTCCTCATTTCCAGTTTTGTAAATACTGTGTTGAATGCCTACATCACAAAACCAGAACAACATCCATTTGCTAAAACACGGCTAAAGAAAATGTCAGACTTTTTATTAGTAAAGAACACATGGAAAAATAAGTGTGATTGTTTAAGGTTTTCTTTTTATTCCTCAACAAGAAACTTCAAAATTCCATGGGCAGTGTTACTGCACGACTTCAGAAAGGATCATGTACAAAATTGAGAAAGTTCCCCATATAGTAACAAAAATTCTTAATAGGTGGCTACCGTGTGGTACATTTCCTTGCAGGAAATTCTGTGTAGGCCAAGACTAAAATGGACAGTAAGCCAACTGGAAAAAGGGAAGAATACGCATTTTAGTTATTTAACTACTACTTTTATAGGGGTAGTGAAATCATGGATTGTGAAATCTGGTTTACACATTGTTAGATGATGTCTCTGAATTTATGGGGGTTTGATGACAAGCACCCAGGCCATCCAACATCTGATTCTCCTAATGGAGTTTCTTCTTTGGTGCAGAGGTAAGAAATACTAAAGGAGAGGAGGTCTGTGAAACATGGGAAATTCTTTGCTTGTTAAAATTTAATCATATTTCTTTTGACTAAAGTTTGTTGTTTCCTTGGAAAACATATTATGTGTACAGATGGGTGACGTGCTTTGTAAGTACACTGAAATTGTCACAGACATCTTAACAAGAGGTGATCCACATATGCAGGAGTGTGTCCTCTATCTGTACTTTAGACCCCAGCAGGGCCTCTGATGAAAAACTGGCAAGAACAGAAGGTACTCAATGATCCTGGAAGGACTAGTCCACAGCTACAATTCAGTTAAATCAGTATCCCAAAACTGCCAGTAGAAGTAGAAAAGAGGCAATTTTTTTGTAAGTTCACTCTTCTGGCTCCTACCAGTGCTTTGAAGTTTTGTATTTATCACCTGTATGGCTATGTGCTACACTTGCTCAGTTATACAACAATGAAAAAGTCATTGTGTGCTGAAAACAAGTGTTTGAGTGTCTGTGTACTACATGATGCTCTTTTATGTTAGAGACGGTCACACACAAATACGACAAAGAGAAACTCCTTGGAGATACATCTATTTTGGTAGAGAAAAAGAGCAAAAGGATACTTTTTCTCAGTATTTTTTTGTGTGGGTGGGGTAAGAATATAAGATTTTTCTTGAAGAAACAATGTGAAATATCTCTGTCCATCCCTTGAGAAAAATAGTTACAATTTCTATCACCATTAAAATTTATGCATGGTGATATTCCCTCAATATTAACTATTTTGCTACTAATTAAATTTTAAAAAGACCCACTGTAATTATAGTGAGATCAAATACAGTAAATATGGCTCTCTGCACTTGAAAGTTAAAACTGCTGATTTTAAAAATGTTACATATGATTTTCTTCCACCTATACCAAGTTTCTAGAGGTTTTAAAGTACATTATAACCTTTAATACTGAAAAGACACTGAACAAAGTGTAGATGAGGTTTAACACCTATTTTTGCACTTTCTGGAATAGTGATGTTTCAAACTGATCCTTAAATGCTGGTGATTCCTACTTCCTCAAAGAACAACTGATTTTAAAGGGACTACATGTAACAATTAAGTCTAAGGAAAAACGATTTTCCTAAAAAAAATGAATGCATTGAAACAGAACTCTTCACAGTAGTATATATGACAGCTTTGTTGTATTTTAGATGGTCTGGGTCAAAACCAAAGAACCTCACACCACTATGTACAAACGCAATGTTTTAGTAATCAGGGCACATGATCACAGTGTACAGGCAAATCTCTGTCAAGGTTAATGCAGGCCAGGGAATGACATTATTTTTTCCTATGGCAACTGTACAGTCACAAGGTAATTTGTTTTCTATGGACAAAAATTGGAAGAATAAATCCCAAACAAGATCAGGATTTCTATTTTTATTTTTTTGTTAAATTTCATTTGGAAGGCATCTTGCAAACTTAAACATAAATCTAGGCTCTTAAATTACTTGGGTTTACTTCCTTAGCAATTGGAACAGAAGATCAGAGCATAATTGGAAAGGCATGTGACAGAATAACTCATTAGACCTCATATGATTTGTAGACTTGGTGTAGAAATGATGCATTCTGAGTATCTCTGTCCTACCTATAATATGATGGAGCTGCATTAATTTTGAATCCTTATGTGATATGAGTTACAACATTTACATCAGAACCAGAAAATCCTGCACTCTTGATAAACCTGGCCTCTTCAAAATTCAGCAAGGCTGTATTTGAATTGATGAGCAAGTTTAGACTTACTGGAAACCCAACACTTCTCTTCCTATGTAGAGCAGAGGTGCATTGTCCTTTGCCATTTCTTGCTTTTTCCGCATTTTGTCATCCTTTTTCAATCTCAGCTGCCTCTGGCCTTGCACCACAGTTACCACAATCTGTCACTTTTTTGGCTGTTCAAACTCACAGTTACCACCCCCCAGTAACTGCTATGGTGGCTCACACAGTGGAAAGTTCTTCTTTCTCAAAGCACAGTTTATCCAAACAGAGGAACTTTTAATTCTGAAGTGTTTCTGCACACGCAGCTCCAGCTGTCTTGGGGAACCATGCATACACAGGAGTGCAAGGCTGAAACACCTGGGCTTAAAAGGTTCAGTTGCTTTTGGTGTAAGGAACACAGGTATCAGTGTAGTCCTGAATGTTTTTACATTTGCGTATGCCTGGGTTGTTATACCATTGGAATAAAGAGGGTCACACAAATGGTAGGAAATGAAAATAAGAGGTCATCCAGAGCAACATTTCTGTTAACAAAAGGTCCTGGAGGACTCTTATCAACAGGGTTGATAATTAGCCAAATGAAGCATACTTTGTACAATCCAGCTACAATAAGCATATTTTCCCCCTTTTTTTCCCCCCATCTAATTAGAATACAAGAGATAATTTGTTGAAACTGTTTACATTAATATGCTTTTCATGCAATTTTTTAATGACAAGGATTTCCCTAAGCATAATATTATAACAGCAAAAAAAACCCCAGGTTATATCATATTTTTCTTACTATTCAGTACAACTGCTTATTAAAATTTTAAATAATTTGCTGATGATGAATCCAGGTGCTTCACTGCAGACTGTAGTTTCTGGGACTTAGAGCCAATTTTGCGATAAGAAAATGACCAAAGTTGAGCACTCTGTGCTATTCTAGGATGCTCCTGGTTATTTCGCAACCTGCAAATGAGCTGAGGTTTGGATAGAAGAAATCCACCCACAAGACAGTATCTCTGCTGTTATTTTAATTATATTCCTTCTATGCAAGTTATTAGCCTATTCTAAAGGCTAAGTACAAAAGAAGTAGTACAAAGTCTAAGTACAAATGAAGTAGTACAAAAGAACTGCAGATTGACATAAGGAGCTGCCTCCCTTGAACTCATAGGGGGACTGGGTCTATAAGAGACATTGTCAGAAGCCCAAGAAATGGACAAGAACAGATCAAATTAATACTCTGAAATAAACTTTAATAGGGCCACAATATTT